AAACAAACACATCATGCGAACCACACCAAGATACACCATAGGGAAGGTAAAGAGATAAAAATTAAAAAACATCAAAACAAAAGTCCTCTATTTCCTCAATTAAATTCCTTGTCAAGTTAGGCAAAATAAAATTTCCCATAGAGCTAGGCAAAAATTCTCATAAACGTTCTTCACATCAAAAGAATAAATCTCAAAAGCCCCTTTGCTTAATCCATCCCAAATAACAACATCATCACCAAACAATAGGGAAGAAAACAAAAACCTACTTTACAGAAAATTTATGAATTTCACAGTAGAAGGGCAACGGGGATTTAACAAATAGGTTTACAGAGAAAAAAGAAATCACAAAGACAATAGAACCCACTTAAGATAAATTAATAATCAGGAAAAGAATGTGTTTTCATAGAAAGGGTAGAGAGAGAAATATAGCACAAAGGGAAATTTTCTGAGTATGAAACAATGAGTGTTTACAGAAAGGGCAAGAGTGAAAGAGAGAGGATCAAAAATACAATATTGAAGATGAGAGAGGGAGTTTGGGAAAGCTAGAGAGAGTTACTGCAGATTTCAATGGGGAGGATCAAAAAGAGGTTATCATTGCGAAACAAAGAACGTATGAGAGAGAGAGATATATATACCGCTTATTTTGATGTGTGTCTCAAGCTCGAGGAGGTTGCGTTGTTGAATGAAAATGTCTTTGGAGACGACACAAAGCTAGCGGATCTCGAACTTAGAGGCTGAATCTGCTTTCCTGGCCTTATTCCTCTCACCTCAAGAAGCCAGCAATGAAATGTTTTATTGGGGGAAGTAACTTCCATTTCCAAGTTTCGTGGTTTACCACGGAACTTTTTCTATGAGTAAAACTGGGAACATAAATAGTAAAAGGAAGATTTCTTTTTATCTTACCATTTTTTATCAAACACAAACTATGAATAGTAACAGGTAAGTTTCATCTTCTAGCAACCAACTTCTTGTTATCAAACGTGCCCTAAAGAAACCCGTAGGAGAACCATTTCTCAGCTCAGAGAAAAAAAGAGTGGAGATACAAGATTTAATCAAGGAAATAAAGGTGTCTGGAAAACCCAGAGTATGTAACGTAGCTAAAATAAAGGCCCAAGATACATTATCATATGCACTGCTCAAATCAAGCTGTAGACACATCTTAGCCCGAACTGTATTTTTATGGCAAAGAGAGATGATCTCATTTGCCTTAAGAATGTTGTCTGTGATGAGTTTGTCATTCAAGAAGGCAACTTGTCTAAGGTCGATAAGGTCACCAAGTACTACCCATAAACGATTAGATATGATTTTATTAATGATCTTGTATATAATATTACATAAACCAATATGGTGGAAGTCTTTCATAACCTTAGGGGAATCTACTTTAGTAATTAAATAAATGAAAGTGGAATTGATTTATCGAAGGAATTTACCTTTCTTGAAGAAGCCTCTAAGATCCAAAAAAGGTCGTTTTTATCACTTCCCACCCGAACTTATAGAATCCCACTGTGAAACCGTCAGGTCTCGGAGCGCTCTCACTCTTCATGCCCCAGATACAGTCATTTATCTCTTCAATAGTGACCTCCTTTATCAAAATGTCCTTCTGGTTAGTAGTGAGCAAAGACTGGTTAGTAGTGAGCAAAGATGGTGGCAAGAACTGATCAGCCAAATGAGGATCAATATCACTTTCCTAGGCTAAAATATCTTTGAAAAATCCAACTATATGCTTGTCAATATTTGTTTCAGTAATTAGAGCATTCCAATTCTAGTCTTTAAGGGAAATAATATGATTACCCCTTCTTATTATTACTATAGAAAGATGAAAGAATCTGGTATTAGAATCCACTTCCTTTAGCCATGTTTGCCTTGACTTTTGTCTCCATATACTCTCTCATGACCCAATAGTATCTATAATTTATGAGTACAATCCTCCTCTATCATTAAAGCATCATGAGAGGGATCACAACTTAAAATTATCATGTAAATAAGACAATTGTTGCCGAACTGCTACGACAAAATTGCTCACGTGGCCAAACACATATTTATTCCAAGTGTGCATGTCCCCTCTCAATCTTTTGAACTTCGTAATCAGTCGGAACATAGGGCCCCAACACTGACTTGCCATGATGCAAAAATTATATCAAGAAAACTAGCGGCTTTTTCCCAGGTTGAGAAATATTTGAAAGGTTTTGGCCTAACTAGGCGTAAATCTGACATTGATACTAGCAAATGACAATGATCAAAGTTCCCCTTGGGAAGAAACTCTACTTTAGATTATGGAAAGACCAATACCCAATCAGTGGTTGCCATAGCACAGTCCAATCACCTTTTTATACATTTCCTAATTAATTGATTGTTTGACCAAGAAAACCATCATCTTGTCACACCAAGGTCAGTTAGTGCGCAATCAGACATAACTTGTGCAAAATCTCCTCCATCCTGGGGTAAAGAACCACTGCCATCCATTTTTTCTGAAGCATTTAATAAGGTAATAAAGTCTCCTAATACCATCCAAGACATTGTAGCAGTAGCGCCAATATCTCTCATATGATCCCAAAGTAAGGCTCTCTGAGACACTGAGTTGAAAGCATAAACATAAAAAATAATAGACATACAGTCAGTAGTACATAAACAAGTAGCCACAACTATTATCATCTACTCATTAACATCCAAAATATTAATTGAGTAGATAGAGGGGTTCCATAAACACAGAAATCTCACTCGACCATCAATATCATTAGCAAAAAAATTATTGTAAAATCCTATTTTGTGTGCCCACAAACCAGTAGCATCTATAGGCAGTCTTGTCTCAAACAAAAATAATAAACCAAGATTTTGTTGATTTTTAAAAACACCAATGTTTGATAATCTACCATGACCTTGAAGACCATGAACATTCCATGATATTACTGACATTTTATCCTTTTTAAGAAGGAGAATATTGGCCTAGATAACTGGGCTTACCTTTAATATGTTGGGACTTACTTATCCCTGGTCCCTATCCAACTGTCCATTCTGAATGGACGGTTGAGATGGCCCCAATCACAATGTTACATCTCTACACTATTTTATTTTTATTTTACATAATACTTTTACACCAAATTTTGGGCGTCCACTCCTCTCTTAAGCTCGCACTTCTAAAAAATATAAAAACAATATTCTCAATAAAATAAAAAGATCAAAATACCCCCAAAAGTTTTAAGGGGTATTTTGGTTATTATATTTTATCAAAAAATTATTTTTAGTATTTTTTTTTAGGTGTGCCCCCATTGAGAAGATGGCACATACGAAATTTCATATTTATACAATTTATACAAAAAAACTAAAAATAAAATTCTCTGAAGTGTCAGATCTAGATCAAAAGGTCAGTGACTCACGTGATCTAAATTAAACGCCTGGATAGGGGGGGTGAAGTATATAACTTCTATGTTGTAGGAAAAATATAGAAACCTTTTCTATATCTCAAGCCCTTTGAATTATTTCAATATTTTTTGTGAAAGGGAACTGGTCTCATTGAATACTCTCTTTTCTTAAAAATGATCCCTTAGATGAATAAAAAGCCATGAGAGATGAATAACATCCAAGTACCATATCCTCTTGCAGGAGCATGTCCATTTTGACTCCCTTGGGCAAATACCATCTACGAATATGTTAGAACACTAAACTTTAGGGGGATGTAACCTCCTTAAGACAATATCAAAAGGGATTGTATACAATGAGACTATTTACCACGGTTTCAATGGAGAAACAATCAACTCCTAGCAAAACTTTTTTTTTTTTGAATTGAGTCTAATTAATGACATTTACAGCCCCCCAATTTAATATCTAACAAGCAAAAGTGATCATGACCTCCTCCTACTAAAAGTAAATGACTCTTTGGTACTAAAAGTAAATGAACTCTCTCTCTCCCACCCGGACCACCTTGTACTAAAAGTAAACGGTACTTTACCTTCATGTATTATCTCTCTCTCACAAATACACACACAACCTCTTCAAATTATTTGTTATTTCTTAGGAGGCAGAGAAGGCATGGAAAGGGTGAATGGCTTTGGAAGAATGCGCACCCAAATGCCGTGAAGTCACCATCGTCAGTTGAAAATGTGTTGGCAAAAACCATGAAATGACTCCCCCTCACACCCTTGAAAGAGAGTAAAGAGGAGCTCAATAAATGCAAGGCCCCAATTCTCACGCCACAATGAGTACGTTTGCTTTTCCGGCAAGTTTGTTCAACCTTGACTCGCTCACTGCAGTGACTCTGAAATGGATATAAATGAAAAGCAATCTCAACGCAGAGGCTTCTCTGTACTTGCGGTCATTCTTAACCCAGGGGCCTCTCTGTACTTGAAGCTTTTCAATCATGTATTGCTCTCTGTCCCCTGCAATTAAATGAGAGAGAGTATGATAAGGTGGTCCCTTCAGAGGGGGAGGGGAGAGAGAGAGATTGTTCAAGTCTCCCTCAGATGGTGGGCCTGAAGGCAACTGGTTCAGTGATGTAACGATGAGTCAAACACTTGCACACCATGAAAAATTTGCACCTAATCCAAACCACGCAGCCCTTATCCAACCTACCTTTCCATCTCGATTGCCCGCCTTCCGTAGTGATCCGAGGCGATTAACTCTCGCCATTGAGAGGGGCACATCATCAACTTGAACATATGGAAAACCTATTGAAGCACCCCTCAAATAGGGAGGAAAGAATGTGTGTTGAAGTCTCCATAGCAACAAGAGAGAGAGAGACGGGGGCCATCTTTCAACCTGGCATAATGACTGGTTATAGCGTTAGAAAGATACCACAGTTACTGTGACTTACATGGTTAAAATTTCAAACAATGCTCATCAGGAAGACATGGCACACTCCGCATCATGCGCAAACAATATGCATGTAGCCCCGACCCCATGTTCTCAACAACCAAAGACAAATAAAACTTTGAGAGGAACCACCCCTATGCTTAAGTACATCCATGTCCATCCAAAACAAGTTTCATCCCCACCACCATGCCTGCTCAAGTAAAGTTCATCTCGACAATCCATTGTCAATATCTGAGGTTACATGTCTATAAATGCACATTTTACAGTGTCCCTTTTTACAGGATAGAGAAAACAAGAGAATGCAATGCACAGCATGAGAGAGAGGGAGAGAGAGAGAGAAATTAAGGAAAGGAACACTACCACAGAAACCCTAATCGCCCATAAACCCTAAGAAGAAGAGATTTTGAAAAAGCCATTTCCATATTGTTCTTTTACAAAGCCCGGTGCAAAGAATGCAAGGCGCTTACACAAGAGGGGCGGCTTATCCCAACAGCCATTGCATTCCCAAGAGTCCATCTCTTCCCAACCCCCCATCCAACAAGAAATCACCAACAAGAAAAACAAGAAAGTCTACATTCACAAATAGAATTGGGCAACAAGAAGAAAATATGGGGGACAGAGAGGGCGAGAGTGAAAAAAATGGCAAATACAACAGGTAAAGGAAAACTAGTCACTACATGGTTTCAGAAGAAATCGATCTCCAAATAATTCCCTGATGGCTTCACATCCACCCCTGCAGCTGAGCCCCCCTTCTTCTCACTACTCGACCCCACCATTGGACCTGGTGGGCCGGTAGGGCCTGGGCCTGGGCCCATCTTCGCAGATTGGACCTCCATCTCAAATGGCTTGGGCACATCAGGTGGGCTTGTGCACCTTATCAAAGCCCAATTAATGCTCTGAAAAAATGGATGTTGCTTCACCTCAGTGGCTCCACGCTTATAAGCCAACCTATGCTGAGGCTCCTTAACCAATAACCCTCTTATCAAGTCTCTGGCTGCAAAGCTCACAGTGGGCGACTCAGGAAATCTCAATGGCTGACCCACCACATTGAACAAAGTGGCTCGATTGCCTGAACCCTTAAAAGGGGTCTTTCCAAAGAGAAGCTCATAGAGAAAGATACCAAAAGTCCACCAATCAACTGCACTACCATGCCCTTCGCCTTTGATAATTTCGGGTGCAAGGTATTCATGAGTCCCAACAAAAGACATGGATCGAGCACTAGTGGGCTCAGCCACGAGCTCTGGCAGTGGGCTCACCTGGTTGTTGATCTCAGGCTTTGCGGGCTTGGGCTTACTGGGCTTTGCAGGCTTCTCTTTCTTTGATCGGCTTGAGAGGAACCTTGGAACAAAGCAAGTGGGTTGGACACAAGAAGGCTGGATCACACAAGATGGCTCAATGCATGCGGGTTGAACACAATATGCATTCTTATTGGCGTCAGAGTCTCCATTATTGTTGGATTTGAGGAGGAGGGTAGGGGAGACAGCACAACGTAGAGAGAGATCAAAATCGGAGAGCATAATGTGTCCATCCTCACGAACAAGGACGTTCTCAGGCTTGAGGTCGCGGTAAACAATGCCAAGCATGTGAAGGTACTCGAGCGCAAGCAGGACCTCTGCCACATAGAACCTGAGAAGGCAGAGAGGCAGTTTGTGAGAGAGAGAGAGAGAGAGAGAGCATGTGTGTGAGGTAGCCGAGGGAAAAAGCAATCTTGTTTTTATAATGGTAACAAAGTGAAAAGTAATTGAACATTTAACTTCGATTTCGGTGAACAACAATGTGCTTCAAATGTGAGGAGCCCTTTTCAAGTATCTCACACTCTTTAAATGGTATAAACTGTTTTTCCTCGAAAGGCATTCAATATTCATGAATTCGCTTCTTAATGCAAGCGGTTTTCCATAGAATGGTTCGCCAAACAGTTATGCAATCCAATTTTGCCTAATAGTTAGATATTAGACATTGGTTCCAATGAGGATAAAGGATAAACTAAGTATGGGATATTATGGCCAAACCCAATGCCTACTGGCATGGAGCTCTTGACTGAAACCAAGATGCTTGGAACCCAGAGATTAGGAAATTAGTACAATAGGGCACTCAATGGCCTGAGTAAGGCAGAATGTAATGAAGTTCCATATTTGATATCATATCAGGGGTTAATAAGCTTTGTCTTGTGAAAGCTATGTGACACATTTGGGTCACCTTAACCCCATAATGGGTGTCTCTTAATCTCGCACTTCACTGATGTTAATTATCACACTTATAGTAAGGGCAAAAAGACTATTAAACAATCAAATTTCATTGGGCCAACATTTCCAACTATTGACTCCTCTTTTTATCAATCATAACTAAGAAAGATTTTTAAGTCTCCAAAATCAAAAGAATGATACGGAACAGATAACAATCACTTCCCAGCCTTACGTTTCCTGTGGATTCTTGTACCTTGCAAATTAGTAGATGTAATCTGTATATTCGTATGTTCGTGATTCTCATGCTGTTCTACAGTTGTAGTCATCACCAGAAAAATTTTCACCTTTCTTTATGATAGCTGACAAATTAATTAAAAGCGTGCTGAATAAAAAAGCACTAGAAATGAAGTATATTTCAGCTTTTTAAACTTTATAAGATAATCCATATCAAGTCACAACCCCTGGGGTCACCTAGGTAGAGCCTCAGCCAGCTCCGCAATATGCCACAATCAAAAGAGGGTGACTGCATGCATGCTGGATACATCTTTTGTCTTAGACTTATTTAATGTGAAGTTTTCATAATGTATGTCCAGGAAGACTCTTTCAAATTAAGCTGCATGGTTCTTTTTGTCTTTCTTGGCATCGTTTCAGGAAACAGAATAACAGAATCAAAGGTGCCCAAATGATTTTTAGAGTCGAAAACTCAGAATAGCCATAGGTACAATGCATAGCACATTAAGCGGGATGCCTACCATTTGGGAATCGCACTCTGATCCAATAGGAATCGAGAATCCTACCTTGTTATAATCACGGTACCATCCTAACCTAACCATTTGGCACTTGGCGAGAAATTATTAAGAAATGAGTTCCAAAAGGCAAAATATCTAAGGTCTTAGATTATCCATAAGCAAGAATTCCTTAGCATTGGGTGATTGGCACTGCTCCCTATGTAAGTTCGGTGGACCTCTACCTTTAAGTCAACCTTTCTCTCAAAAAAATGAATTCCTTAGCATTGGACTCCATATAGTGAGTACACTTACCCAAGGCTCCCTTATTATTGGAATCGATGTTTTTGGCATCCATCCCCAAACATTGGAGTCGATGTATTGAGTGCCTTTTATCATAATTTTCCACAAGTATTGGAAAAGATCGATAAATGAAAATACTTTATTTATTTTTTTGAGAAAGGTTGACTTAAAAATACCTTGTTTATTAATAATTATTATTAAAAATAAGACATTTACTACAAATTCTCAAAATTTTAGGAACGATAAAAACTAGAGTTTGTCGACACCTGAGTTTTTAGATATCCATCATATCACAATGAGGAGTCTACGTTCCAAAGACATCAAATCAACAATAAAAAAAAAGTGAAATTGTCAAGATCTGTAGCAATTCTTTCACAGAAATGCAGTGTCGCTGTTCCAAACTGGAATTGCTACCAAAGGAGGACAGTTCTGGTAACTATAGTGCTGATTGCGAGATGCCTAGGTACCAGAATTAGTTTTGTTCTCAAAGCAGTTCTACTACAACTTAAACCAGTTTCTAGTGGTAAATGCATCTCAAAAACATTTCTTGAACTGTTAAATATTTTGTACCTACACTCAGTAATGGTACTCCCTAAGGACTAATACAAAGACCACAAAAAAGGTTTGTAGGCATCTGTGACCAGAGAGGGAAAGTGTACTTCAATCCATATGAACATGGCAATGGTATTGTCATAAGGGTCATCGCTCATCACTGCCCAATCTGTAGGCCAGTAGTGATGAAGGACTTATAGTATGAAGAATCCAATTAATGGTAATTTTGATGGGTCGCGGTCCCATCATCACTACCCAGCCCATTTAGGGGAAGTGAGGCACGCTATGACCACACTGTGACCATAAAATAGGAACCACAGTAAGCGATTGCAAGCATTGAACAATCTTACTCACCTGCAGCACATTTATCAATAATGTTTCTCAATTGATATATCTAGATATCATGAAATCATTAGAGAACATGGGGCCAAAAATAAAACACATGAGCCTCCATTGGAAGATCATACACCTAGGGGTCTCATGGTTTGCATAAGTATCTTATCAAAGAGGCTACTGCTGATAAAATAAAAAAATGGGGTCATCTCGGTTAGTATAGGTGCTTCTTATGAAAAGCTGAGATTGAAGATCATGATCATCTCTTATTACACATGCCTTTGTGGGAGAGATTTGGAAAGCAATCATGTGGAGAATCAAAACTCGAGCCATAGTGGGCTCAAACATCTAGAGCCTCCTAACAAACTGAATCCAAAAGAAGCTCAAAAACAAATTCATAGACAACATTTGGAGTGCTACAATCCCCACTCTAATTGGGTCATATGCAGGCAAAGGAAGATCATCATCATACTATTCAAGGGACACTAAGGAAGATGACATGGAAAATTAAAAATGGTATCCCAGAAGAAAAGATATTTCCCAGTAGAATGAAAGAGAGGGAGCCACATATGAAAGATGGGAAATACAAATTCCCAATTGACATCGAGCGAGCTAGAGCAAATATAGCAAGGTCATTATGTACATTTTGAAAGATAGAGACTTGTAGTGAGGCTCATCAATACCATATCAGTCCAGAACTAATTCATCTCTTATGTAAATTTTCATACAAGTTAATATACCATGTGGGGTGCAAGTACAATCCCCCACTATCCAACCGAAAAAAGAAAAGAAAAAATAGCACGAATGCTACCTATAGGCAATGATTTAACTTAGAGAACCTGGAGTATTGTTCATAAAGGTTCCTGAATGCAATGGCTATGGAGTCCCACAAACATCACCATATTGCAAAACAAATCACCATATTCACGTAAAGAATAAACGAGGACATTTTCTTTTCTCTAAGCCCTATAACTACTTCAGATTAACTAGCAGATAGAAAGCAATACTATGGGCATAAATTAGCATTTACAATAATTCAGAAATTCTGACTCATAAACAACTATTGATTTTAAGGATTTATATAATGACTAGGATGGTTCATGATGTCCACATATGACAAGGACATACTTATTAACAAGGTAACACTTATTTCAAAAAAAGGATGTACATGTTGACATGGAACATTTATCAAATTTTGAAAAGAAAGAAATATTTCTCACAACCACTCACATAGGTGTAGACACCAGCCAAATGGCCAAAACATCGGATGTAAAATTGATTCAGACCACAACCGTTTTAGACAAAAATAAAGTGAAATGAAAAGTGAAAACAGCCATCCCAGCCTAAGAGAAGACAGGTCGAGTGGCAAGGTGCAAACAACCAACAAGAATTCAACTCTTCCAAGGGAAAATAGAAATGGTATTTAACACCAAAAAACTTTTGTACATAACCATAAAAAAATTTTCTGAACATTAACAGTTCATTGATAAAAGAAGTGTGTCAAAGAGCTACAAACTGGAGTCTCTCCATCTTAGGTTCGTGTGTATATTGGTATAACACAGTGAAGCTTAATTGAATTACTATCCTAAGCCTCAAAAGTGTTTACTAGTAATGAAAAGTCTGGATGCCTGGCACCCAGAGTAGTGTTTACTAACACTACTTGGTCAATAAAAATCTCCTCAAAAATGTTGCAGAAACATAGAATTAGCATAATTGAAAGTTGGAAAATGAGACTTTCATAAGAATGTTTGCCCACAACAATATGACAATCATAAACCAATCTCATCCTCCTGCCACACAACATTAAACCAGCCGACTACAAATGCTCCAGCAAAAATGAAAATCCAAGGTGGTAGGGACAATCCAAGATGATGGGGAGTGGATACAAACCATTAAAGATGAGATATTAATCACAAGTGACATTGTGACAGTAGATTCCAAGAGGGCATCAGATGCAGTTGATGTATCTCAGACAAGAGGGAGTGGGAGTTTAAATGTTTCAGAGAACATGGAAAGGAATGTTAAACAATAGATGAAATCTATATAATAGGATATTCATACTTACGAGTCACATGATCTTCCCTCGCATGCCCACAAAAAACCCAACTACCACGTGATTATTCCAATTTACCATGGACAATCAAAATATGCAGAAACTTCAGGTTTCAATTTTTTTGGACTGGCACATTTACTACAGTTTAATTGATGAAATCTATATAATAGGATATTCACACTTACGAATCACATGATCTTCCCTCGCATGCCCACAAAAAACCCAACTACCAGTGGATTATTCCAATTTACCATGGACAATCAAAATATGCAGAAACTTCAGGTTCCAATTTGTTTGGACTGGCACATTTACTAGAATATAGTAACATAATCATATATAAAACCATTGAAGCTTCAACAAGAGTGACCATGAGGGACTCAGCTGCCAATTACTAGCATGCATCAATTTCTGTGATAACAACTATACAGGTAACAGACAGAAGTCTAAACTCTCCTATCAACTTGATGAGCAAAAAATCGGAATTGACAGGCTAAATTCATAAGTCAAATCTGTTCACATAATAAAGGAAAATCTAAGGATGATACCTTGCAGCCTGCTCTGGAAAGTATTTTCCCGGTTGCCTTTGCCGAAGAGTATGCAGATCTCCTCCCGGGCAGAACTCCATGACCAAGCACGAAAACTTATCAGTCTCAAAGTGGGTATACAAAGAGGGCAGGAAGGGGTGATCCAGGGATTGCAATATCTCCCTCTCAGTCTGAGCCCTCAAGAGCTTCTTCCTGCTTGCCAAAGACCCCTTGTCCATAACCTTCATGGCAAAATAGCTCCTGGTACCACTCAGCTCAGCTAGGTAAACACTACCAATATCACCACACCCTAACCTCTTAAGAAGCCTAAAATGGCTCAAACCCAATGCTCCATCTCGTGACCTGACTGCTTGTATAGCTTCCCATCTTGAGTCATTTGCCTTATGGGGCTTGTTTATACTGCTACTAAAGCTGCTACAACTACTCTCATCGCTAACATCACTGCAAGTGCTATCACGACAGATACTGCTCTTCCCACTCTCATTAAAATCAGCTCGACCATCACTGACTTTGGTGCTCCCGCTAGTCTTAGCGATGCTGCTAGTCCCATCACTAACTTTGGCAGTTACAAAGCTCTCCTTAACGCCATTGCCATCTGTAGGTTGAACAACATTGCCGGAACCATCAGATGGGGTGGTCTGATTACTGGTGAAAGAAGAACTCAAACCATCATCAACATGGCCATAACTTTCTTTGAAATCTTTAAAAGGAGACTCATCTGCAGTCTCAGTCTGAGAATCTGAACCAGCATCTGGTGTCTGAAGCTTCCCATTAATCGAATTAGATGATAAAGACTCGGTTAAAGCAAACTCCCCTGAGGAACTACCAGCGGAAAGACCTGAGTTATTTGAATGGTTGGCCTCCAAAGCCTTGGTTGTTTGATTAGGCACCCCAAGATGTGAATTGGGTTTCACCTCTTTTGCCAGATTTGTCGAAACCAGCTTCGAAGGAGCCCCATTACCTGATTTTAAGGTGAATTTTATAGGAACTGGTTGTGCTTTACTTCCTTTAGGAGAAGGCAATGTGTTCAAATCACGAGTTGCGTGTTTCTGAGATGGCCCCCTGCAGGAACCAACTTCAGACAAGTGAAGAACATGGGTGCCTTTCTGTGAAGTTTTCCGAGGACTACCTTGATGACCTGCAACTCTCTGAGCTTGCTCTGATAAGTTCTGCACATTAACAGTTGGGCCAATGCCTGGTTTATGAGATACTTTTAAAGAACCAGGTTGAGTAATTCGGGGGCTTCCAGCCAATGCAGTGGCATTGTTACAAACAGTGGGTTCTGGTGTCTGAGAATTAACTTGAACAGAGATATTCTTCCTACCATTAGCTGGTACCCCAGATGCGGCCATCAGTTAAAGACTTTGCAAATCGTTCACTTGTAAATCAAATTTATCAAACAACTCCATTCACACCATGAATATCTGAAATTCCATCTCATCAACTCTTTCTTCCAAGGTATAATCCTTTCTGTCAACTAAAATACCCTTGTTTCTCTCAATCAAAATAGCCCCACAAAACCATCCCTGAAACTCACAAGCAAAGAGAGAAAAAAGAATTGATGAGAAACAATTTTCCATGATACAATTATTGGATATGGTTTAATAATTTTTTTATATGTTTATTAATATCATTCAATCAAAATATGAATATGTCATAACACGAATCTTTATGGAAGCCCAAGAAATACAAAATGCATCCAAATGTACGTTGATAAAGAAAGTGATGAATATTGACAACACCGTGAGAGCAAACTTTGAAGATCACAGGTAATAAAGAAAGAAAAAAAAAACACTTGAAGCATGATCAGAGAAAGAATGCAGATCCCAACTCAATAACAGTCAATAAGGACGAGCAAAACAATAACTGAGGTAACAAGAAAACCGAATGAAGCCACCAAAAACCCTAATCCTAGAACCCGTACATCAGCCCAGAAATGCAGATCCCACTCAAACCAGACAACGTAACCACCTCAAATCCAAGAAACCCCATACTTAGAATCCCTCAAACCGCACAACACAGAAACCCCCAACCAGTCATAGATCGAGAAAAATAATTGTAACTAAACACAAACCCTGGATCGGGCTCAATCCATTAGAAAACCAACCAACAAACCCTAGAAAGCCCCATTTACTATGAAACCACAGTGCACCAAAAAAAAACAAAATTCATACCTAGTTAAAGATTCACAAGCTTCCTCCAAATAAAGGTGGGAAATTTCAGAGTGACTCAGGTGAAACCAGTCCATGTAAGGGGGAGTCAAAGCTATCAGTGAAGAAGCTTTTCTTCAGAGAAATTAGGGTGCACAAAAAGATGGAGTATAGAGCTTAAAAGGTGAGAGAGTAAAAGGGAAGAAAGTGAAATTAGGGTTTCGGATCTGAAAGGTTTTCTAGACGGAGAAAATGAGAAGAGAGAGAGAGAGTCTTCACTGTTTCTTGTGCGGGTCTTCATCTGCGACTGGAAAAAAAATGCAGACTTAAAAGGCAGCCTTTACGAGATATTCTCGTAAATTCGGGAATTTCGAGGGGTAAATATAAGTTGGTATAATGCATAGGTATTCTCGTAATTAAATGCCAGACTGAGGGGTAAATTTCTGAAGTCGAAATTTTTTATGTAAAAGTGCGGTTTCTATTAGGTTGCAACGCACCTTCCAATTTTATCATAACAAGTAATTTTAGTGTAAAAAAATTAGAGTAATGCTCCTACGATATCTTTCTACACCCATATATATATATATATATAAAAGACCCAAAATTTTTATCATTAAATTTGACATAAATTTTTAGAAAAATTAAATCTCATACCATGTGATAACTTTTCTAAAGTTTTATAATAAATGTAATAATGATTTTTTAAGGTCTTATACACATGGGTGTGGGAGGGTCTCATAGGATCATTACTAAAAAAATTAACACATAATTTTGGTGTAAAAAAATTTGGATAAGTATAGAATGTGATCATTTACTTTTGGTACAAGGTGAGATATTAACCTTGATCATTGGATGTGAAATTGGGTGGCATCAATTATTTATTGATCACGCTCAAACTTCAAAATAAAGTTTTTCGAACTTTGAGACAAATCCAAGCTATCAAACTTCACATCGGATAATTGCAAGTAATTGTTACCATCTTGTATCAAAGGTAAATTATCTCATTGTATACAATCCTAACAAATTTTAGGATTATCTCAAAATCTATTTTTATATCTAATTATAAAATTTTAAACTTTAAAAATAGTTAAAATCAAGTAGATCTATAAACATATGAAAATCTTGAAAATTAATAGTCTAGATAATGTGTGGCAAGATGCACTATTTCTAGTACTCAAAATTTTATTTAGTTTTTATATTCATATATCTCAATGTCCAGTTGATTAGTTAAGGGGTTTTTCAACATTAAAACAACATCTTCCGATAGATATTTGAGGTGAACGTTGCAACCTTATATAAACTTCTTATATAAAGTTCGACACCCTAAAATGTGGAATTAAGGTGTACATCTAAATGCTTTTGAAAAATATTATCTTAAATCCTCTAATTGATCATTTCGTATAAATATAGAGAAAAAGATAGTTCAAGTCTTAAAAATAGTGCATCTTACAACACATTAACTGAATCGATGATTTCTTCATACATTTATAAATCTGTTTGATCTGAATTATTTTTAAAATTTAAAATTTTATAATTAAAAAAATTAGATTCTCGCACCATCCTAATAATTTTCGACCCAAAATTGTACCTCATGATAAAGTTTAGATGTGCACCTTACTTTAATTGTTGAAGGTAGCAACCTTATGCAAGCCACCCCCTTCTAAGATAAGATTGATAAATTGATGGGCATTATAATAAGGACCCAGTTTCTATGGGTCCATGTAGAAATGAGTCACCTCTTAAAAATCTATTTTTGAAATGGATTTTTGGACCTAATTGTAAGTATGAAACAAATACATAACTTTTGAAAATTAAAAACAATAATTCTATTAAGGAAACATTTGAACCTTTAGCTTGAATGGTTTATAGATGGACCACCTATTTGCATATATTTTTGAGATGGATGTTTTATACCTCAGAGACCGCAAATATAGAAATGCGGCTCCCGACGCATGAAACAATTTTCCTTATAATAATGAAATTGAAGTTTGCGGGGGTTAATTTGCTAATAAAGTGGCTTATCGTACTAGATATCGAGGTGTGGTCTAACAATGTCTTGGATGGGCCTCTTTTCTTCTAGAAATGGCAAAGTGGTCACTATATTATCCTAATTGGATATAAGACATTGTTTTTTGTTTCAAAAATTTCATTATTTGTTTTGGTGTTTTTTTTTGGGGGTAACGTGTCTTGCGAGTTGGTCGACTCACATGTAGACGTGCGTTTCCCTTCAAAATCCATATTTAATATGAAAAGATCAAATTTTTTGAAATTTATTAATCTATAATAGCGATTATAAATTGGGATTGTATACAATTAGACTATTTATTTTTAATACAATGTGGTCACAATTCATTATTACTATTTGATATAAAATTTAATAGCATAGATGCGTCAGAAAGTTTGAAAAAATTTCTTTTGAAGTGAACTTATTCAATGGAATAACTGCAATCATCGAATTTCACATCTAAAGGTCAATGATAATATGACTACTTTGTATAAAAGGTAAATAATCTCATTCTATACTTTCCCACATGAATTTCAAATCTTATTCATTTAAAATAATGAATTCATCTATTTGAATATTTATTTTCGCCATCAATTTTAACGTATAGTGAAATTACCTTTTATTTGACATCCTAAGATGGACGTCTTATCCATAAGGGGACGCACATATTTCAGTGAGTCGGTAACACTGTGTATGAAATGACAACGCATTCTTTGTGTAATGTGATTGCATGTATACACGTATATTTATATTACAATATACAATGGCCCAAGGACCAAGAGACACGGACAAATTTCTCCTCGAAATTTGGATATTCATACCAATTTCTTAATTGATTTTGAAACCTACACACTCCCTTTGAAAAGGAAAAAGTTTGCTCTCTCTCTCTCTCTTTTTCTCATTGAATTGCTAGTCTCTCTCACTTGAATTTTTAGACATTCAGTCATGCTCATGCCTGCTTTGGAAAGAAAATGGATGAGACAAGGATGGATAATCTGTGTCATTGAATTTATTTGAAATGGAAAAAAATGCATCCTCCCTCTTTCTCTCTCTAAATTGTTACCTCTCCATATGTGAAGCAGTAATTTAAAAAAACGGATCAAGTACCCCAAACACTGATATGGAATGGTGCAGAAGAAATAGTAAACTGACGAAAATATACGTAAAAAACAGTGAATTGGCAAAAAACCGGTCTGGACTAGTGAATTGGTGGTTCAGGTCGCCATTTGAATGTGGAGAATCGTCATTTTATTGTGCAGAATTGCTGGTTCCTTTCTAAACTCCGCAGTTTATATATATATATATATATATATAACTATATCTGGAATGGAATGATTGACTCCTAGGTTGGCCCAAACGATTCGGTTTCGACCCGATGTTTTTTAAGTCGTTAATGTGAAGTTAGTGGCTGGAAATTTGCTCCAAAGATAGAGAGAGAGTGTGCGGGCTTATTCATGACGTGGTTTATGAGTAAGATTAACAATTTCACTCCAAAAAATTTACACATCTTGTAAATGGTAATCATTCTCAGATGAATGGTGTGCAGTAGCATGTACATAGTGGGCAATCCACCATCCGTTTTCAAAGGCGAGAAGCACGCATAGATCCTGCTTTGAAGGAAAGTCAAGTACATGGAACTACAGATTCTCCACTGTGCATCTTGAGAAGAAATGGTGAATGCTCTGCCTGTGTATATTAAAACACAGCAAGTGTGTACTTGTGAGAGCAACAAGCCCTTCCTTTAATTCAGTTAATATATATGTGTGTCTATTTTGTTTAGATTTGTACAAGGCATCAATCTTACACATTTAAATTAACTCGCACTTCAAAACTATGCCGGAAGAAGTAGTTTTGGTGCGAGAAAGCCTTGCAATGCCGTAAAATTCTATTGCCATCCTTAATTATAAAATTTGACGTTAAAACAAATACAGATTTAGCAAATCTATAAACAATTGAAATCTTTTATCTTTTTATATCCTTATATCTTGATATCAAGATGATCAATTTGAGAGTTATCTAGCATTGGAACAATCTTTTTTCTTTTTTATTATTTTTTGATATACTCTTCCTTTAATAGAATTAGGTTGACACCTTATCTAAACTATTTCCTCTATGTATGTGCTAGATGTGATAGCTCTATCAAAATAACTAAAGCCTCACCTCAAAATTCACCAAATATTGTAACTATGGCATCAGAAAACCTTCAAATCAATCATATCGACCTTGACCATGATGGTTGTGAAAAAAATTAAGATTTCAATACCTAAAAAAAGTGTATATTCTAACATATTATCTTAGACCGTCAATTTCAATCTAAACATGAGTGTTCACAATTTTTTTAGCTTCAAATTTCATAGTCGGTGTTGGAAATTGATTTAGTCTTCTTGGATGTTTCCGATGCCCAAACTCCTCTCTGGGCAAAGATATATTAATAATACTTTCAGTAAGAGAAAAATACTTTTAATAATAATAGCTACGAAAATATATTATTTTCCCTAAAAATTGAGCATGCTTGTGCAGCAATAGCTCTAAAAGTTGAGCATGCTTGTGCATCAATAGCTTGGTTGCTCAATATCAACGTTTCAGTAAATACATGTACTACATAACAAGGAGAATGAAAAAATATCAAATAAAATGTCTCCATATATTAATTTTTTCCCTAATTATGATAATCACCTACAAAGTGTTGTATACTCGTATAAAAACTAATATTAAGCATTAGTATTATAATCATATATTTTGATGTCGAGATGATCAATTCAATAATTTTTAAACATTAAAACTACCTTTTCTGATGATTTTTGAGGGGCATCCGTAGCTCTACAGTATAAGGTTGCATCCTCATATAAACTTTTTCCTTAGCAGTTCATATCCCTATAAAAATTGAGTCAATAATTTGCGAAGAACGTCAACCTGTGGTCCTCAGGGTATTTTAAGCCGCATAAAGCCAAAAACCAAAGACCTGCAATTGCCACACGTCAGTTAGAGAAAGAATTGGAGAGAAAAAGGGCGATTTTTTTTTTTTTTTCTCAATTGATCGAATTACTTCGGTCATTCTTAGTCAACACCGAGTGGTTTACTGGCTGATTAGACTCCGATGAACTATCGATTGATTGAACAATAGATTTGATAGTCGACTTCTCAATCATTTCCTGATTGACGGAATCAATAGTTGCCTCATAACTACTCTCGATGAATTGAGTTCATTCTGGATTTCTCAATTCTAATCAAATACAGTTTACTCATACTATGTAATATGGCCACCCTAAAGTGTTTTGAAACTAGATGAGAAGTAAATGTAATCAAGCATCTTACCAAACCCTCCAGA